TAAAAATTTTAAACACTGACAAAGCTTGCGCGACGCTCGAAAATCAATATTTTGTACGTGAAAAACCATAGTACACCAAATGGCACTCACCCAGATTTTTCACTTTGCTTGATGCAGGTTCTGTCTTTGGCCTCTCAAGTTGAGGTATATTTGTTCACTTTTTCCGTGTCAAACAACTGAGCTCAGACAATCATTCTGATCACCTCACACTTAGCGTTTATTATCAACACCCAGAGTTGTGGCAAAAGAAAGAATTGCCTTTTGTGAGGCAAATTCAAACAATGGTTCACGAATATTTATAAACAGAGAGTGTCGCCATTGTCTGACAAACTTTTTACATTGCTCCTCTTGGTTTCTATTTTCAGTTTGCTTTCGCTTATCACTTCTCTAGAGGGTTTTTCTTAAACGACCCAAAAAAACACGCAGCCCTCACTTTCCCTCAACTTGTGATTCAATCGGTTGATTGAGAAAGCTAAAAAGGTCATAACCTCGGTAGTCTGGAAATCAGACGAAAACATCTAAGTAAACATTTTAGGAAGTAAATTGGTTGTATACGCTTTTCAGTTAAAATATATTGTCGCTTGAATTTTGGCGTTTTAGTGTCGAAAGTAAATTTTTCATGCATTCTGAATAAATATTAAAATACGAAATTGCTGGCAGCTAAAAGTTTCAGCGTATGTCATTTCGAAAACATAACTTTTTCTCAGCAATTTTTAGTGGAATATCTTGATTGCATCTCCAACTACGGTCTGCAACAGGTAAAAAAAATGAATAACTTGGTAAGGAGACTGGAAAAAAAGTCGTAATACCATGTCTGCAAACAGGCTATTGTAATTTCAGTGAAGATAATTTCAACATTACTTGCTAGAAGAGCCGGTTGCTTCGGTAACCGAAGATCTGTTCCACGCTGAATTCACGGAAGACAGAAGGGAGAGAGACTTGCGCATTGATCAAAACTATTATCACCTAATTTTAAGGTTACTTCCCACATTTAGAGGCCGAAAAATTCGTTTTTTCTTTATTGGACCAGATTGAAGTTAGACATTTTACCTAACGTTTACAAAAAGAAAATTTTAAAATAAAAGTTAACAAAATCAGGAGGGTGTCATAATCTCGAAAGTAAGCGAACCCCCTGGAGGAATGTTCGCGGCAATTTCATGTTCAGTTGCATATTTTGTTTACATCGCGCACTTGACAAAATTCGCACGTGAAAGTTGTCTGCGACTAGAAAGTCTTTTCTAACGGATAAAAAACAGAAATCAAAATTAGAGACGAGTCCCTGGGCAAAGAAAAAGAAAGAAAACAGGCCTAAAGAGGAGAGAAAAGAAAACTATAAATAACGGAGTCAAATCCAAACAGATTCAAAGTCCAATAATCTGATAAGTAAAAGCATATCTAAATTATTATTATTATCGTTATAATGATAACGATAATAATAATAATAATAATAATAATAATAGTAATAATAATAATAATAATAATAATAATGGGAATAACAATTACAGTAATATATTGTTAATAGCAAAATTGATACTGTTGACAATAGTAGTACATATATGCGTCACAGAGGTGTCTTTTGAAATGTCAGGTTTGAAAATGGAGTAATATATCTCTGGGAACATTATTCTGCTATAAGTTGGCTCATGCTCAGTTAGGTGAGGCACTTAGACCCAAAGCTCGTAAGAAATACTACTAACCTTTTCGCAAGAAATTATCATAATTTTCTCGACGCTATAAAATGAATATAACCGTCTAACATTTCAGATGAAAAGAAATTTAACGTTGTGCCCAGATCCCTCATGGCCATTCGATTTGTCAAATAACCATTGCTTTTGTTAGACAATACTGTAGTTTTTCTACATATTAAAACTGATTTAATGGTCTAATCAGTAGATTGATGTATCTTTTATTGCCTAGAGGGTCGATATCTCCGAGATGTTGTTAAGAGGAATGAATGTTGTAGTTTTAAATGAAGTAACTGGCGCTGTGATGTCCTCTAGATGGTTTGATACGTATGAATCTCAAGAGGACAGCGGTTATCTCAAGGAATTTCTTACAAGTTTAAAAAACGGCAGGATAATCTGTTTTGCAGTAAAGGTGCGTATAGACAGAATATAAAGTGCAGATCTGTTTCTACAAGCTACAAACTTAAGTGTAAATTTTACGTGTTGGGCGATGACGAAAACGATGATAAAAACCTGTCCACAATGAGTACAATATTAGGTCTGTCGAGTGCACATTGATTCATCATACTTTGTTATGAGAAGAGGAGGGGATTAGAGTAAGGGTATGTTGTGGGGTAAAGAAGATGGCAATCAGTTTTAAGCTTGGATTTCGAACAATAAAAGGAGCATGGGGTTTTCAATTGTGTTAACCATTGCCCTAAAACGGCAAACAAATTTGGCCGGTAGGCGTAAAAATTGACAAATTTTAACAGTTACTCTTAAAAACAGTTACTCTTAAAAACAGTTAGCCGTAAATTGGCCAAAATTTAAATCGTTAGCCGTAAAAGACATCACACCTGGCCATTGAGACCCTCGAGCATGGGATCAAAAAGCTCTTAGTCCACGTCAAGTAGTCCGAAACTTGAACCTTTGGATTTCGCACTCGAATGCCCCACTACTGAGCCTTAAGCGTAACGTACCATGAGCCGCACGCTGCCTGATAACAAGACTGATACATGAACTTTTCAGCAACAAGCTGAAGCCGGTGAAACAGGTAAACTTATGACGGCGGAATTATTCCTTCTTACCATTTAGGACGAGGCTTCTTTTTCCTTATCAAAGAACACGCGCATGTACATCAAGAGTTTGGGAAGTGTTTACATCAATCAACTTAAGTGGAGAGGCATGTGGGCGTTTATTGTCCAGCGGTTGGGCAATCGAAACATTGTGTATGGGGAGAGTTTGCAGGACGCACCAGATCATAACCAGTGGGGAAGACCTGTGAAACTACACACAACCGTGAAACTAGTGGCAGAAAATATTGTCAACTGCGAATGGGAAGACTCGAACGCTACCAAAAGAAGAAGAGAATTTTGCGAAAAATATGAAGGATATAACTATGTTTGCAATTGTGAGTATTAACCCGACAGCAGAAGCATGTACCACAGTAGTTCCTCTTTGTCTTCAGGGAATCTCTCGTCAAAGCTGTTTACCAACCGAATGCTTGACTAAGGGGCCCTGTGTCCCGTTTGTAAACTTGATTACTCGAAATGATATGGCTTGACCTGTCAAGCCATATCATAGAGAGGTTAATATATTTTTTTAATCGTCGTTTACATCCGCAGAACCTTTAAATTAATTAGCCGAAACGTGCTTTTTTCCGACGTTGGCATCGTGTAAAGGGAATTAGTATATACACACCCAGTGATCTTGGCATTTCAAGTAATCTTATTGGTTCGCTATCTCGGGCTAATCAACAATGTACACCTCCGAGCGAGTGGATAATGTGAAAAACAAAATGGCGGGCGTAAACTCGCGTTTCGCTAAAGTTTCAGAAACAGAAATTGCCTTTAAATGGGTTCCTTTAAATTTTGTCGAGATCACTTCGTGTGTATATACTAAAACAATTATTCTTTTCAATCTCGGTGAATAGTGGCTTTCGGAAATATTTACCTCGCCGCTTCGCGGCTCGGTAAATATTTAGCCACTATTCACCTCGATTTCAAAGAATAATTGTTAATTGTAGTTCATCTAATTACCCATCAATTATTTTTATTATTTCAGGTGACAACCCTCTTTCTCTGGATTTTGATCCAGTTCCTTTTAGAGACAACAGTAGACTCAGGCTGCCCGTAGCTGTCATGGCTGGTAACAGACCGAGTTACCTACTGCGCATGCTCTTAAGCCTTCGTAACGTCGAGGGCCTGGATCCTAGTTTAGTAACAGTTTTTATTGATGGTTTTTATGACGAACCTGCCTCGGTCGCTAAACTGTTTCAACTACAAGTGGAACATCATGCGGGTTCAGGGAGACTAAATTCCAGAATTTGTCAGGTAAAGTGGGTGGGCGGTTGTGGAGAAGGGAGGTTATAATTCGGAAGGATTTTGGTTGAGCCTCGAAAAAAAAAATTTTCCTGATCCCTCCCGTAGGGCTCTACAATATCCTCACGATTCCCTCTTCTGGGTAGTTAAGTGGCGGTCAGTTTTTTTTATAATCTGCTGGCGACAATTGATTCCCCTCCGTTCCTCTCTGATACTATGTGACCCACCAAAATTCACCACAACCCCTCCCCTAAGGCGATAAAGATTGAACGACCCGAGGGCCCTCTTTCAGTTCTAAAGTTGGATGTTCCAAGAGGGGTTTTCCCATTGGTGCCATCCTAATTTTGTTCCAATGATTTTCGTTGTTGTGTTATGCCTTCAGCACTACAAGAAATCACTGACAGCTTCGTTTGACAAATATCCCGATGCTGACTATCTTGTGATCCTGGAAGAAGATCTCGATATGTCCGTTGATATTCTCAGCTATTTTAAACAACTTCTTCCCGTGTTGGAAAACGATGAAAGTCTGTATTGCATATCAGCTTGGAACGACCAGGTATGTTTTGGGGTTGAAGGGCTGAGCCTCTCAAGTCATGGAGTACTACTGATGGAAAGAATAAAGTTAGCCTAGATTTCTTCCGTCACATTTTTACAAGAAAATTCACATAACTCCCATTATTAAAAAATGGATCATTGGATAATGCAATTCGAGACTTTTTATTGGCTTAGCCATTATGGTATATCAACAAATAAACCATAATCTAATATCTGTATATTGTAACATCCGGTTTCTACTTACAAAATAAAGTCGAGAAGATTTGTCTAATATCTTGGGGGNCTCTGTTGGTCTCCTAGGTCAGGAGGACATTCATAAGAGCAGTCAAGATAAATCGAACCGCTGCGTCCTGAGATATGGAGATCGTGTCCGTTGCCAAACGTTGGTCCATAATCACTGTGACATTTCATGGCGGAAAGCTGTTGGTATGAATCCTTCAGTGGCATTTTAGTTGGCTCCAGGCCTAGTGGATTGTCCAAACTGAACAAGAATGCCTTGGTACATGATGTGTAACCTCGATGTGGCCCACCTAATAATGAAGTTAAGTTTCAAATTAATCGTAATATCCGCATTTAAGAAAGAAAAGCTTACTGTGCTCGCGCGTTGACAAGAGAATATGCATCGTGATAGACAACTCTCCTTATGAGCACCAAAAATCGTGCGATCATTTTTGCTCGACTTGTCTCGAGGATTACTCGGAAAATTTGGCCTAGAATTCTGAATGACTATAAGATAGTGAGCAGTTGCAATTTGTCATTTGTGTTATCAGCCTACGTGAAACCGATTTATGCAAAGCTTGAGAAAAGACACTTCGGCGTGAGCCGGGTGACAAAACTAAACTTTTCTCATAAAATACGCTTCTCCTTTCTTTCTAGCCTAACAATCGGGAAAAGCTTTCCAGCTGGCCCAAAAAAGTGTCAGTAAACCACTGTATGGACCGAACCATGGAAGACGCTTACAATTCGGTATCTTTTGTGCGTTAAATTTTAAGTTTCAGTGTCTCGTTAACATTGACCTTTGAAAATGACCTACCACTGAACTTTTCAAATTTCTTCTTACGTCTATAGTAATCATTTGAAAGAAAAATCTCTCAATATCTTCTCCTTTGACGTACGGAAAATGATGTTACGTATGTAAACGCTATTGTTTGTACCCTAAACAAGAACAGAGTAAAGTTTTCACCGACGTGGGTTACTAGTCACGTATAAAGAGGCAGATCACGCCTCAAAAATCACGCTCGCAATTCTGTAAAGTTCATGAGTCACATATTAAATTTGGCCTAATCAAGCGTCACGAATAAACCCTTTGCCATTTTACATGGCGATGAAATTCTATTTATACAGTCGAATTTTATATCGACCGACCCAAGCGACAAACAATTCTCGCGATTGACTTGCCTTCCCTATTCAGAGGTCCTACAATAGGGACAATGACTTCAAAAATCTTTGCGTTCATACTCAAATTTATCGCTATCGCAATTTTGTTTTGCAGGCCAATATCAGCGGCGTAACCAGGCGGAATGAGGCAAAAAAGAGAAAAGATTGATAAAAGCTTGTTGAGAGAAATCAATTTTGAGCAGAAAATGAAACATCGGTCGCTAATTGTACGGAATGACTGAAGATTAGGTCAGTCACATTATCTCGTGCTTCGGAGGGGATAAAAGTCGAGTTATTTTGATCTACACAAACTTACTTTGCCATGACATCTCCGTAAATCCTCCGAAAATGTTGTTTCCACTCTTTACGATGGTGACCGTGGGTCCTTTGTCGTCACAATTGGCGTGGAAGTTTGCAGCTTCGAAACCATCTCGAGTAGCGCGGTGCAGAAGACGCCACTCTCCGCGAAACTCAGACAACCAACCTCGTAATATCCCCCTATGATCTTCATTTGTCAAGATGTCCGACACTTCAAAAGGATTGTTCAAAGGTCTAACCGCTTGAATTTCAACTTTAGTGGACTTCATCTCGTCGATTATTCCTTGGATCTGATAAAATTCAGCTTCTTCTTCAAGTTCTTTCAGAAATGTTGCTCCTTCTGGCAAAGTTAATATTCCAGTGCGGAGATAATTGAGTATAAACCGGAAGTGAGTTCCGTCTCGATCGATAAAGAAAGCGCCGTCTTCAGCAGGCTTCATTTCAAATTTCCCTGAAAACATAGCAGGCAGCATGGAGTTTGGATCCTTGGTCAGCGTTTGAACGCTTGTTGTGAAAGTGTGTCCTCCGACATTGAGTTTTACGGTCGAAGAAAAGTGAACATGTGCCAGTTTCTTTGATATGGCGTCGACAGCTTCCTGCTCTTGGCGAAGTCTTGTTGTTTCGTCCTGTAGGATTTTAAATACCTCTTTAATGTGATATTCCGCTTCTGCAAGCTTTTGACTGCCTTTTTGTTCTTCATTTAGGCGCTTTTGATCAGCCATATTCTTTGTTTCAGTGAGGATATTACACGCGAGAGTTGCTCCTCTCACGCACTGAGGACAAGACTTCTTTCGTCGGATTGAAATCGAGGTTAACAACTTAACATGATGCTGGCAGGGGGAGGGGCTGGGGAATTTTCAAGCTAAGGGAATTTGCTTCCCAGGAAGCTCCTTAAAATAGTTTACAACGAAATATCAAAGGAGATATTACATTATTTTGGCTCACTTACTGCACATTAAATTTTAGCTTTTACATCTCCTTCTATCATTTATTCTTTCGAGCGTTCAGCTTTATCGTCCGGAAGTAGTGACTGACGATTCGACAGGCTAAGTGGACGTTGGTCGGTGGTTTTCCACCATATTACCAAATGAGGGAGCGTTCCCCGGGTACGAGTATCAAAAGCGGGGTCTCTACACTCCCCTCCGTTTCAAGTAGAGGTTTTCTCCTTCGAAAGTTTGATTATGCCATTTATTATCCGCTGGTTGGGGTGCAGGTAGGGGGTGGGGTAGGCCTTTATAGATTATGCTAGCATAATCTATGGCATAATTTATGCTAGCATAATTTTTGGCATAATTTGAGCAAACTGGCATT